TAATTAGACTATTACAACCTAAACATGAGAAAAAAAAGATGCATAAGAGTATTTTAAGTTGAGCAGTTGTAAAAATACAGTCAGTGAAATCAAGTGCATACCCTTTTTGTACACAGCGTCTGTACCCTTCCCCATTTTTTCTATGTTGTGAGTGTCACCCTCCATGTACGAGAAGACTCTGGCCTGATACGTCCACACAAAATCTTTGGAGCCAAAGAACTGCACTGGGAACTCTCCCACGTCATGTTTCATCCTCAGGATGTTATTTGGGACGTCTTTGGTCAGACAAACCTCTGCAGGCCACCACCTAGAGAGTTATGTCATGTTTCAGAAACAGAAATATGGGTAACGTAGCTAATGTTTACAACCGCTATGTGTATGTGGAAGGCGGTGTTGTGCCCTTACCTGTAGCGTCCCCATTTGACCCACAGTATGTCTTTTGTTCGAGGCTTCTTCCCAGCTTTACAGTCATTGCAGAACCAACTGCCCTGAGGCATGTCGATATTCAAACATTCCTGATGGAAAGCAGCAGGGCAGGCTTCACAGCACAGCAAACTGCCGCCTATCATATCACAGCAAACACACAACAATGATTAGAGCTCTGATGACTTTTTTTACATTGGAATTTAATTTATAGACAAAATGAATGAAGCTACTTTAGTATATATTGGTCTATAAAATCATCAATACACCCAAAGGTTTTTGATTTACAACAATCTGAGACACACAGAGATAACTAGTAGCTGAATACCAAATTGTACCATCAAAACGGTTGTTAACTGACTCCTATTATCTTTTGTGTACTAATTATTTCAGCGCACCTGTCACAAAGCACACACAATGCAGACAATGGAGAAAGAAATGCACCTGTGGCTATGTGTTACTAATGACAGTGTGTAGAGACAGCATAAAAATGGAAAGTAAAGACGTTTTTATAGATACATTTGTCAAGCAACTGAGAACAAGGTGCAGTGTCCAAAGCAGACACTTTTATGGTTGTTATTAAAATGTGAAACAGTCTGGAAGAAGGTGCAACAGTGTGATCAGAGCCCAGTTATTTAGCAGTGTCACACCTGAATTCATTAACAAGTGTGCGCATGATCATAATAGCTAAACAGTTTCGATGGCAGGTTAAAATGACCATGAAAGAAGACCAGACTCGCCTTCAGAGCAGACAAAGCACCAGCTAACGTTGATGTGTTCATGGTTCTTGCAGCCTTTGCGGGGAGTGAAATGGTTCGGACAGAGAAAACTGTTGTTTGCCAGTACTAAGCTGCCTGCTGCCATGCAGTTGTCATTGGCATGATATGCCACAGGGCAGCGCACGCATCGAGCCAACCGACCTACAATAAAAAAAATTAAAAAAAAAAAACACAGGAGCAAAGACAGCTTAATCCATGCACATCTGTAACATTTAATTGAGGCTTTGTAACCACAACCATACACAGTGCTCCCAGTCCACTGAATGCTTTGTGGAGCTAAATGTGCTTTCACTCCAGTACTGTGTCCCCTTTCACCTTCATTGACACACATTTCCTCAATTTTAAAACATGAGCAGGAGAGATGGTAACAATAAAACAATAATTTAAATGTGCAAATTTTAGATTTACAAAACAAAGCATCTCAGGCTAAGAACTAAAGAATACCAGACATTTTGAAGCTAACATGCTCGCAATCAGTTTGGCATCCATTTTGCAGTGCAGTTTAATCACCACGAGTTTGGCATCCATTTTGCAGTGCAGTTACCGCTACAGGATGGTACTGATGGCGACCAGAAGGCTAATCATACGCTGCGTTTCCACTATCAGAATCTAATGAGCAGTATAACTCAAACTTTCCATAACTATCACCAAACATAGCCTCTGGGGCTGACGCAGACCATACTGCTTTGTTTTTCCACTGTATTTTCTCTCTGTCGGTCTCCGTTTAGAGCAGAGACAAGCTGCACCCCTCTCATACATGCAGTCAACTGTGTGTTAAATGTGGTGCTTGTAAAGCTAATAATGCTTGAGGAGTGAAGAGCAGACATTTAAACAATCACTGGCGACTGCTTTGCATTCCCAGCTTATAAAATCTGGAAACATATGAAACCATGCAGTCATCATAAATAAAATCTATATGCACCCTTTCTAATATGTCATAGCTATCACATTAGAACTGGAGATCACCTTTAGAGCCACAGACATTGAGAGGGTTGGTGATGTGGCAGGACAGACAAACATGCAGAGGGCAGCGGAAGCCTTTGTTATGTGGCTGGGTGGCAGAATAGGCCAATATACAGTCGGTGTGGTAGAACTTCCCACACAATGGTATTATGCAGCGCTTTACCCCATTACCAGACTTCTTACATACAAAGCACATGTGGATACCTGAAAAGAACAGAAATACACATTTTTAAGGATTTCTAAATTGAAAAATATAAGACCACACATTTTCATGATCAGTAACAGACTGCTTTCACAACTGTCAGACAAAAGGTGTACCCACCAGTGTTGCATTCACGACAGAGAAATTTTCCCTTGGGACCTTCCGACAGGCCAATACACTGTGGGTGATAGGCTCCATAACAGTGGCCATCACACACCAGCAGGTCTCCTGTTCTCTCACATACCTGCACAAACACAACCACAAATGCACAATGTGTCAGAGTCATACAAAGCAAAACAAAAACAAAAACATATACTTTGACAGATTATCTCACCTGACAAACATTCTCCTTTAAGGATGTGCTTCCCATTTTTCCTTTTACATCCACTTGGGAAGAGAGGCTGTCATTCAGGCCAACAGGCAACACCTACAGAGATGCAGAAAGAGCTGTTGATACTGAAGCACACTGTTATGCTCACAGACTACAGATTCTTAGTTGTGAGCTAAACAATACAACATGCACACCTCAGGTTTGGGAGTTAGTGTTCCAGTGTGTAGGTTTTCTTTCTCCTCAGTGCTGCAAGCGTCCATCTCCGCCTCCTGCCTGGGGGTCTCAGATCCTTGGGGGCTGGGAGGCCTGTCTGGAGTAAGGCTCCTGAGGGCCTCTATCCCATCTAAGTGCTGGGAGGAAGCAGCTGGTGCAGAGATTGTGCTAGGTTCAGCCTTCTCTTTCTTCTCAGATCCAACCTATCCAATGTGAGATCATAAGGCTGGTTAAATACAGTGGCAAGACACGGAATGCAAACCCTTTGGAATTACCCGTTTTCTGCATCAATGGCACATAAAATGTGATCTGATCTTCATCTTCTTCACAAGCACAGATTAACAAAGTGCCTAAGCTAATAACATATAGTTATAATATTTCATGGTGTGTTCTTCCCTAACAATTCAAATTTGACATCTTTAGTGTTAGGGAGTGCCAAGATGCTCTTTGACAAATTACAGAGAGGAACAGCTTCCTCGGTTGTGATACTTTTTTCCATGCTATCATACACCAGGATTTGCATATGGTAAGACTCACAAACAGACATATTAACTAGCTCTAACGAGTCCTCCAAGCCTTGAGCTATTACCTTGGGGTTATTTTTGAGCATTCTGCATTGTGCCTTTGGAGTCTCTTAGCTGGGCACAAACTTGTAGGGAGAGTGACCACAGACTCATTAGCCCCTTTTACAATGCAGGAGTTTTCCTCCTCACTGTTCTGTGTAAATGGTACAATACCAGTGTCAGGGAGGTCAACGTTGACCCTCGAGAATACTGAAACATGAGGTAGTATTTTTGCTGAGGCGAGTTTACCCCACTTTCTCAATGAATGGGAGAAGCTAGAATGGGCGGTTGGAGGTCCAGGTGAGAGGGAGAGATAATGAGGGAAGTCAGCAGCGTTGGCGTTTTTGAAGTTCAGTGTAAAAAGAGCTTAAATCAAAAAGGCCGCCTTGAAAAAGGGTCAAACCACTGGCAGTTTGCCATTATCTCTGTGTAAAAAGGGCTTCTGAGTAACCCTTTCCAGTGTTTTGCAAATCAAAAGTTCTTGTTGGTAAGTCTTCTAAAATCTGTTTTTTGACCTATGGATCACATCAACAGATGCTTCTTGTGTAAAGTAAAGTCTAAATGGTTGAGTGTTTTTTTATAAGTCAAAGCAGCTTTAAACCACACCTCTGGTCTGATTTCAGTATCGCTAACTCCTGACTCCATTTTGTTTTTGTTGAAGTCATTAGCCTAGGGGTTCTTGTTCCAACCTACACTGTGAATGTTGGAAGGATGCATTCAATATGGGTAAACACAGTACAATGATCTGTGTGTCACAAGGCAAAACAGCTTGCTCATAATTGTAACTCAGATGAATATCTGACTATATTTTACAATAAATTGATACATACCTAAAGATAAGTTCACTTATTTTATCTGACCACTGTATAAATTTAACCTTATATTTTTGGTGGGATGAGGAGAAAGACAGAATTTGCTTTTAGCTTGTGTTTTTTATAGTACCTGAGTTGTCTTGATTAACATCTTCACCTCTGAGGTAACTCCACCGTGTTGCTTTTGCTCCTGGAAAACAAGCAATTAAATGTATATTTTCAGTGCTAGTTCAAAATACTAACTGCAGTTTTTGCTTTTCTCTGACAGTAAGCCAGTACACTGCCATCTCACTCCAAACATACCTTCTTTTTAGTAGGAGAAACGGACACTTCTTCTAGGGTACATTCCAGCACCCTGTGTGACAGCTTCCTTGGCCTCTTTCTTTCAAGGATTAACAACCCTGAGTCTAAAAACAAGAAACACCAGTGTAGGTTACATCATACATCAAGATATTTGATAATGGAATAAACAATATTTGTTAAATCACATGTTACACTAATTTACCAGACTCAGGAGATAGCTTGGCTTCTTCTGCAGACTCTGTGTCAGGGGAGGGCTGTGCTGCGCCTGGAGATACTGATGGTTCTACACGTGAAAGTTCATCCTGAGATGGACTCTGTTCTAACTCTGCCAGAGCTTTGGTGGGTTCTACAGAAGACGAGGCTAAGGGAACAATTCCTGGTGTGGTGCTGAAGTCATGGAGGTCTGACATCTCTGTTGTCTGCTGTGCACACATATGCAAATGAAGCACCATTAGAGTACAGCTTTGAATTAGATACACAGGGTGTGTTCACCTCTGATGGGTGATAACATGATACTAACTACAGAGTAAAATGTTCCAGAGATTTAAAAAAAATATAATAATTTTTTTTTAAATGCAAAAGAGAATTTACATTTCCTAGGTATTAAAAAAAATGCCTTACAAGTCTCCATTTGTATTATAACAAAAAGACTAACTTCTTACCATTTTAGAAGATTCTGATGTGTGTTTCTTTGATTTTTTTTTCGGGGCAAATATTTGTTCATACTCCTCAGCTGACTCCAGGAGTCTTTTAGTTGGTTTCCGGAGACGTTTGTTCTCCAACTGGCCTGTGTAAACATTCATAGTATACGTATCACTTTCTTGCTCATTTGACCATTTGAGTGGACAAAACCAACAGCTGCAGTCTGCGTCTTACCGGTTGTGCTGCTCGTCTCTGACAAGTACGAGTCATTCTCTGCCTGCTTCTCAAAACCCAGATCAAGATCTGCTGATGCTCTTGTGTAAGACCCATTAATCTCAGCACACACCTCGTTCATAACCTCAGCCTTATCCTCAGCGGCCTTCTTGACCACCTGCCAGCGCTTCTTTGGAGCCACCGTGGATTCTGAGTTCTTATTGAGGTAGCTGGCCGAGGTATCAGCAGCATCGGGAGGACCAGACCCAGGATCAGCCAAGTCAGCATGGCCACTGACAAACTCCCTGCCATAAGCAAAGTCAGCTAGGTGTGAAGAGAGGCCAGATATGCTGAGTTTCACTTTGGCAGGTAGTCGTTGTTTTCTGCGCTGCTTGTCTGAGCTCCCCAACTGAGAATGAACAGGAAAGCTTTCACAGTGGTAGCTGTCAGCTCTCATGATAGGTTTAGTCCTGTTCTTGGTTTTCACAGATGTGTTGCGAAGTGCTGTAGATTTCACAGGCTGGTCTTTCTCTGTTTTGATGGTTCTCGTGAAACCATCACAAGAACTCTTCAGTGGGTCAGCTTCTGTAGAAGTAGGGATGACCAGGGGTTCCTCCTTGATTAGGACTGGTGATGGTGGGACAGTCAGGGGTTTACCTTCTTTTTCTCTGGTATCATGAATGTCTTTCAGCAGCATCAGGAAGGTACTGAATTTATAATTGGAGTCAGGATGAAACACAGTCAAATCACAGTCACTGCTGTCCTCCTTTAAAAGAGATTTAAACATTAGTTCCTTGACATCCTGAAAAGCATCCATTGGAGACAGAGATGAGGACGGGGAAGGAGTCAATAGATCCGGGACAACATTTTCAGTCTTGATCTTAACGGGTTGCACAGTGGACACATTTGATTCTACACACTCAGATTTGATCAAGGAGCCATTACAAATTTGTTTCTTATCAGGCTTCCTTACATGCCTTTTTGAGGACCTGTGATTTGTAGATGAATTTCTAGGGGACCCCCAGTCAGGAGACATTGCAGCTTTGATAGTTGCATTAGTAGGTGTATTTTCAAGACAAAAGTCAGTGTGGGCCTTCGCTGAGATTTGGCTTGTGGCCAGTGCATCTTTGACATCTGTGTCTTCCTCTGTTTTCAGAGCTCTCCTCATCACACAACGGCCGGCAGAGAGATTCATAGAGTGCTTTTCAACTGGAGTGTAAGACAGCTCATTAGAGCTGCCCAAACTCGAGTCAGAATGTGGGTCTTTAGAGGTCAGCTTATTTATTGCAATGCTAGAGGACTCAGCAGTCTCTGTACGTTGATTCACTTCTTCAGTAAACGTCGTTTTACCTTTTGTTGGACCCTGTTCTTTTCTGAGCAGTCTGTCTACGCCCTGTACTGGAGACACTGCCGTGCGTTTAGGTCGACGCAGCACTGGAACTGAATCCAGGTCAGCATAAGGGGAATCCTTTGCCTCTTCTTTCAGTGCATGAGTTGTATGAAACTGATCTGCCGTGGTTGTGACAAGAGATGATTCCTTTGACCCAGCAACTATATGGCCAAATATGTCTGACAAGCATTTCTTTTTCTTCTTACAAGCTTTCCTCTTATTGTACAGAATTGTAGAGTTTTTGTTGAGATGCTGCTCATTTTCATTAGGGGCCATTTTAGGTGATGGAGTTCGACCAGGGTCCACGGAGGGAGGGGGGGCCTCCTGTGGCTTTTCAGTAGGAAGTGGGCTGGGTACTCGCTCCTCTTCACTGTTGGATACTGAAAGGACACCTTCAGCGTTCCTTTGCCGAGCAGGGAGCAGATACTCGGCTTCTGCCACACTGAATTTCCATGCAGTTAGCAAACGTTTGGGTATCTGCCAAGAAAAGAATTAACGCTCAAAATACTGTTCACAGTAATTTTATCTAAGATTTTTTTTTCAATCTATTTCATAACCTTACCATATACTTGTAGTCCTTCTCCTTCTGCTTCCCTCTCCGTCTAATCACAGGTAGGGCTTCAAACTGACTGCCTCCTTCAAAAGGAAGAATGACATTCCCAGGAACCCAGGCACGTTCTACAACCTCCCCGATCGTTTCCAGAAAATACATCCGACAAGGACGGGAACTGGGAACTGGAATAAAAAAATAAAATAAAATAAACTTGCCAACTCATTAAGTAACTTCGACACACCCAGTGGAATTCAATTAATCCATCTGGTAAAGGTCAAATTGCAGGAAACCATTAGATTTTTAAAATCCATATGCAAATCAAACCTTACCTTTCATCTTAGTGTGGGTCTCTTGGTCTGGACCGCAGGTGACCTGGCACGGCCACCAGGGACGTCTGTTGAACTTTGCCCACACCAAGTCACCTTCTACAAACTTCACTGCAGGGAGAGGCTTTTTCTTTGGGCTGTTGGACTAACCAGGACAATGAAAAAAACTTTATATTATAGATACTTAATATATAAAGCAGAACACTGTGGTACTATATATAATTTAGTGAGTATCAAATCAAAATTCCTGTCATGATTGAGCTTATATTCTAAATAACAGATTTAGAGACAAGATCCTCTTTTGTATAATTCACGTTTACATCGCAATACAACATTAACACTGTTAAAACCCTTTAGTGTACATTTCTAAAAGACTGATAAAATATTCATTAGAGTGTTCCTGCTACAGCTGGTAGCTGTGCAGATACAATAAATATATACCTCACTATCAGCTGGCAGTCCTTCTGACTTTCTCCATAGAAATACATAACCAAGGTAAATAAAGTAAGTCACCACTGTTTCAGACTCACATTAGAGTTGGTGCCAGCAGGTGAAATAAGTCTGGGGTCAACAGGAGAGGTAAGTTCACGATCACTGTCGGATTCCTCGCCTAAGCTCCACCCATCTCTCATAGTGAATTCTGGCAGTGCACTGGGGCTTAGTGTAGGGTTGAGTTCAGATATAGTTTTGGACATCAGATTAAAGATAGTAGGTTTATATCCTCTTTTATCCACCCCTGAATTGCATGTGGTCTTACTATCAGTCACAGTTCGGTCCTGACTAAATTTTGGGGAGTGGTGAAAGTGTGTCAGGTCCCCACTGCTGTCATGGTCATGCTCCTCCTCCTCCTCCTCCTCCTCCTCCTCCTCTTCCCCCCCCACCTTAATGTCACTGCTGTCAAACAGCTTGGACTCAAAATGCAGGTAGCCATTTGAGATGGGAGAGCACCGCTCCAAGCTATCAGAACTGAGAGGTGAGAAGCCATTTCTGTTCACGTCCTCCAAAGTCTCAAAAGGCTCCATGTCATCATTGCCTGGAGAAGGAGGCAGCTGGACTGAGGGTGCTTCAAACTCATCATCATCACTGATTGGGCTTGCACAGTGAAAATGGTTCCTTGGATGGAGATCCCTCTCTAGGTCAGGCCTGCTGACTACACTGGTGAGGTCCTGCAGCCTCCTCAGAGGGCTGTAGCAGTGAGATCGGTCTGGCTGATTGTACCCCAGTACAGCTGGCTGTTTGAGGCTGGAGGATGGTAGTTGCAGGGCTGATGGTTGGTCTGACCCACACTTTACAATACCATATTGGTTTCCATAGGAAGTACTCACTAGGCCATTGCAGGGCCTCAGCTCTGGCTGGCCTGAACCAAACACCGAGCTTACCCTAACAGTCGGTCTGTATGACTGATTCATGTTGTCATGGCTATATCCTGTCAATTAAAACAGAAACAGACAAGGGAAAATCAGCCATTTAAGTTATTCATTAACCATATTTATTAGGTGCTTTTAAGAATAGTATACTCTACTGGACATTACAATAAAACATGCCGAGAAACACTGAGCAGCAATCATAGACTGTCCGGTAGAAAGCTATAAAGGAGCATAGCAGCAACGGACTGTGAACACACACTAACACGCATGGCCTCCATACTACAGGCAGGTCGGACGGAACAAGACAAAACACAGCCGCTCACCCGATCCATTCACACATTTCATACACAGACCATTATTTAAACATCTACATCAGAAAACAACACCACCTTGTCTGAAGGCTGTGAGTCATGGCGATCGCTTACCAGTCCAGTCTCTGGAAGAGCGCCGAGGTGGTGACACTGAGCCATCACAGAAACACAGCGACATAGGAAGCTAGTATTAACTCACAAAAAAGGGCTGATCGGCACTACGTTGACTATCAACACGCGGAAAAACGTGAAAAACTCACCATTTGGACGTCGGTCACCGTGAAACCAACAGCAAATGTTTGATAATGTAGCACGAAGCGAGTGTTTTTCTCGGTTTGTGAAAGCGGATCTGCACAATCCCAGCTGCAGCGGCACTAGTAGTAGGCCAAGCTCTCATTCTCTGCACTTCATCGCCTCATCAGCGGCGGCCTTCTAAAAACTGTCACCTTTAAATACAAAATAACAAGGAAATCTCCTTTACGCTGTAACATCATACAGCCCCGAAAGTCAGTGTGCCATAACCGGTCCATTAACGGCTACAGCGGCTTATTTACTACATTATTTTTGCCTGCTGTCGAAGTGCCCCTGGTTATGTTAAAACAAGCCCTGGCTGCCTGTGTTGGTGAGCAGCAACCAATCGGCACTGCTACCCAACCCCCCGTCTGCAGAGGGCCGTGACACTCACCCTCCTCGCACGCGCACACGCACACTTACAAGCACCCACGCACACACACACAAAACACGCACATGCACATCCAGGTGAAGTTTGTAATAGTCACTATAATAACAGATATATGACCGAATAATTACCCATAAATTAATGGCCTGTTATAACAATTTGGTCCATTTCAGCGCGTCTGCTTCCGAGTGTAACTCTACTGCCCGGTGCAGACCTCTTTAACTACACCTGTGTAGTGGCAGGGTGAGCGAGAAAACAAAATGATTGCAATGCGCAAACGGCACACGGCCTCTCTGGTCAAATCAAGCAGCGTGCGCCATGTTGCCTTTCCCCAGAGTTCTCTGACATGAGGCCGCTAGGCGCTCAGGAAAAGAAGATGAAGACTGTGGCTGTTAGCGCGCATACAACCGGGTTTTGCTCCGATTAAAAACACCAATGGTCGTCTTCCAGCTTTCCCTCACATATCACTAATGAGAATTTGGTGCGCGTATTGTAGAACAAACTGACAATTATCCATAAACGCGCTAAGTTGGAGTGCACAATGGACTCGCTGCAGTGGGCCAGTCCTTGAAGATCAAACAAAGACAACCCAGTTACGTGACAACAGAAGAGCCTACCTCTCTGTTCAGAGCTTTTTAGTTCACTATACAGTGCTGTCAGGATTGTTGGCTCGGATCTCTGGTGATTAATTTCCCTAACGTTTTCTGTGAATGATCAGCACAAATTCGAGACGTAATTTATTCACTCACACCATTGAATCAAGTGCCTAGCGTTTACATTAAAACAGCGCCCCTTAATCTTTTTTAACCAGTGCTGCTTTCACACAGTGTGGAGACACGTCGATCATTTAAGAACATAAATGTCAATACGCCGTAATTTAACTGATCAGAGGGTAAATAGAGGTATTACTACAAGGTGATTATTGTCTGTGGACACCAGCCCCCTGGTGTCCACAGGGGCGATTACATGCTGTTGATTTGGCAGAAGATATAGGAAAGGACCATTTCTTTCTTTTTATTATGGTTTCACATACAGAACAATAGCATTTATTACACATTCCTACAGCAATCTTTTCAGTCTAACGATGTCCTTTTGTCCCTACTGAACACCACACCAGCATACTGTATGGGCTATGCAAATGTGGTAATACTTATAAAGTGAGTGTGGGGAACAAACAGGAAATGCAACAATGCAAAACTCCATCCACAGTCTGCAAAATAATAAATAGTGTTCAGATTGGTATTATGCAATTACTTATACCAGTTAAATGGATTAAATTAAACAAATTAAAGATGTACAGGCTAGTAGTGTTCCCATTTTAGACATGAAGCAGGATTATACAAGAAAATAAAACACACTGAACTGTACAACACAGAAAGGACAACTTCACATCTACATATTTATGCTCAGGAAAAAGCTGACTTGATTGGCTGTTTGTATTCAAATGCATTTTTATATATAAATGTAGAAAATGTCACAAGATCCTGGCTATAGAAAAGTGAAATATTAGACCAGACTAAGAGAACATGTCACAACTCAAGCAAACAAAACGTCAGAGGGGAAAAAGTACACTCTCTAGAGAGAGTTTAACTACAAACTGATAAATACATGTTTGCCTATATGAGTGTGATTTATTTATATGCATGCACTGAATGCCATACTGCAATAACATACTTCTGATTCAGTCATTTATTGAGGATGAAGATATCATCAAACACTGCAGCAAATACTCTGAATATTTCTAAATGCTAAAAAAAAAAAAAAAAGTTATTTCCATCCACATAAGGATATCTCTTGCTTATCTCTTGCTCATGCACTCAAATGTTTGTCAAGCACTAGAGAGAAAGCTGCAGAACTATTGGCTGGTGTCATCCACTTTGCCACTGGGCTCACAGAGGTCTCTTTTCTCCATCACGGTGTATGGAAAAGGTGGAACATCACAGGTGGTGAAGTCCAGTTTCTTGGGAACACTGCAGTTGCTAAAGTCAAGTTTCTTCGCACTGTCACAACCGAACTCCAGCTTCTTGAGCCGGGCTAGACTCTTGATGCTGCCTGGAGGCCTGCCAGGGCTGACCTTATATCCTGCTGCTTTAGTGGTACCAAGAGGCCTCCCCGGGCTGGTTTTGAACCCTGCCGCTCTAGTTGTTCCAAGTGGACGTCCAGTGCTTGTACGGTATCCAGCTGACTTTGTGGTTCCTGATGGCCTACCTCTCCGCCCCGACTTTACTGTGCCCTTCTTCTTTTTTGAGCCATCTGACCCTGCACACTCAGTGCTCCTGATTTTCACTGTCTGAGTCTGGAAGTCATTCTGGGTGTCTTGCATTTGACATGACGTGGCTTTGTGCATGCCCTGTGGCAAAGGAGCTAGGCCAGCTAGAGACAACTGTAAACCAGGGTTTGTTGGAGATGGGTAGAATTTGTTGGATTGTGTGCTACATAAGTCAAAGTGGCTGGCTGGATGACACTCCTCTGTCAGTCCACTCATACAATAGTCACTGCTGCTGCTGGTTACTTGATGCATCATTTTCTGTTGGAGTGCAGAGAAACAAATATTAGGCAGAAAATCTGCAAATGTGCATGTGCACCCAGACACACACCAAAAGGAGCATTTTCAATTGCCTACTTGTGGTGGAGCAAACTGGCCTTTTAGCGTTGAAACACAAAACTTGACAAAAAAAAAAAAGCAAACTAAAGTTACAATGTGCACATTACAACACGCACAAAATAAATGTAAATGCGAATCCTTGAAAATGCTAAACTATTTCAGGAACGTAAGATGAACTGTTCGTAACGTTACCTCATTTGTTTGTGGATGCTGGAACGGAAAAGGTTCATTTGGAATCGCACATATTTTGCTTTACTGGCATG